CGCCCCCCTCCCATCATCCCACTGACGGGGGAGGGAAGTGGAGAGGTGGAGCCATAAATACGTCCCGAATTCTGAAGAGGCGGAGGAAGGAAGTGGGTTGTTGGGGGTCTCAGAGAGGGGGCAGGGGCAGGCCCAGGCCAGGGCCGCCCTTGTCAGGGGGCCCTGGCTCCTTGGGTGGCCGTGGGGGTCCTGGGGGGTCCCCTGGCTTGCGGCCGTGCTTGCGGAAGTAGCGGTAGCGTTGGACGTAGGCGCGCACCAAGTTGCTCACCTTCACGGGGTTGATCTCCCCACTTTTGCTGTGGCAGATCTGGGGAGCGAGGGGCAGCTGCGATCACTGCCAGGCCCCCAGGCCCCGTTCACCTGGACTGCTGAGCACAGCCTGGGACTAGGAATGCCCCCCAATGTCCAGGCCAATGTCCCTACTTATCCCGATGCCAGCAGAACGGGCCCAGGTGGGCTTGAGACCTTGTCACCCTCCTCACCTTGCAGACTGACCCCCCATCCCTCAGTCTCCCCCTCTGCGCACATCTGTCTGCACTCCTGTCTCTGCGTCGCGTCCTCCGCCCACCTCCGTGTCTGTCCCCCTCTGGGCCCACCCCACCGGCCACCCCGAGAGTCCTCGGGCCTCCCTAACCCAACGGGAAGTGGGTTACAGAGAAGGGGGCTGTTCCCCACAACCATCTCAGATGTGGCAAGGGAAGACAGGCAGAGAACAGACCAGCGTAGCCTCACGCACAGAGCAAGGGGCCCGTTGCTGGTCACAGGGCCGTACTGTCCTTGCCCTGCAGACCATGGCGGCTGGATGCACCGTGACCCGCAGAGCGGTGCCCTGCCACTGCCCCTCACACGGCGCTGTTTATGGGGTTCACTCTGCTCTCCCTCTGGCGCGTACATGAAGTGTACTGAGGGGCGGGCAGCCATGATCAGCATTGGATTGGATAGGAGACCTGAAGCCCCAAAGATCTAAAGAATGGATTGGTTAGGGGGTGGACCCATCAGAAGCCCTCAAAACCTTGGGAAGTTGATTGGTTAGTTTGAAGCATTACCTGGTCCTTCTTGAGATAATATAACCTGAGCCAAACAAAGACAAAGCCTCTCTCATCGATTGTTCTAACTCTCTCTCTCTCTCTCTCTCCCTTCCTCTCTGTGAAAAAAATCAATAATATATTAAATAAAAAAAAAAGATGGGGATGGAGAAAGGGAAATAAGGAAGGAGGGAGGTATGGAGGGAAGGAGGGATGGATATGGGCAACCAAGGGGTAGACTGTAGTGGGTATGAGTGTGTTTATATCCTTCTCTCTCTCTCTCTCT